TTCCAGAATTTTCCAGAAATTTCCAGAAATTGTCTTTTCTTAAATTTTATTTCCTTTCCTGAATTTTCCAGAAATTACCAAAACTTTCCAGAAATTTCCAGATCTTTCCTTTCCTGAAATTTCCAGAATTTTCCTGAAATTTCATTTCCTTTCTTTTACTGAAATTTTCTTTCCTGAAATTTCCTTTTTCCTTTCCTTTTTAATCTCCTTTCCTGAAATTTCCTTAAATTTTCTTTCCTGAAATTTTATTTCCTTTCCTGAAATTTCCTTTTTCATTTCCTTTTTCTTCTTTTTTTTCCCCTGAAATTTCTTTTCCTGAAACTTTCTTTTTCCTTTCCTGAAGTTTCCTTTTTTTTTTTCCTTTTTTCTTTCCTTTCCTGAAATTTCCTGAAATGAAATTTCCTGAAATGGAAAGGAAAAGACATGAAATTTCTGGAAATTTTAGTAAAAGGAAATTTCATAAGGCCTCAAATATGAAACATGTAAGAACACCAGGAAAAAGTAAATATTAACACTCGTAACAATAATAACAATAATTGCACTTCTATAACAATTATAATGTAATTATAAGATTGCTACACCAATAATAATATCCATATTAATAAAAATGATTATGATAATATTAAGATGGTACTTAATGCCATCATACTTAATAAGTCCACCACCCGATCTATGGTATTTATAAGAAATAGAGGAGTTATTACTATTTTCGAAAGTGGGGTTTTTTTCAGGTTCAGCATTTAAATTACACCCATTTCTACGTGTGAATAATGACCCAGCTATGACCGTAGAATGAAGAGTCAAGTGTGTGCAGCATTCAGAGTTCACCATCACACTGTGCTCTGCACAGTCACTGACTGGTTATTCTAAGATGTTGGGCTGGTTTAAAGGCAAACCAGCAGGGGAAATGAACCCAACTCAAAGGAGAGATTTTAAGTCAGAATAACAATTTAATAAAATAATACAAGAAATGCGATTCTACGGACAAACAGTTGGTTTTAACCCACAAAACCCAAATGTGTAACCCAG